AGAGAGAGAGAGAGAGAGAGAGAGAGAGAGAGAGAGAGAGAGAGAGAGAGAGAGAGAGAGAGAGAGAGAATTTTTTTTTTTTTTCCCCGCTTCTCTTCTCTGCCAGGGCTCTGGGACCTTGTCCCACTAGCTCCGTTGAGCTAGGTCAACGTTGGGTTTTCGACGCTGTGTGACTGTACGCGACAACGGAGATGCACGTAGTCCAGTTCATTTAGCGGTCCGCTGAGCTATCCGTTGAACAATAGAGACTATCTTTGCTTTTTCTTACAACAAAAAGCAGAAGTAAATCCTTTCTCTTGAATACTACTCCCCCTACCCTCGCCGCTTTCCATTGAGCTAGCTGTCTCCTTTTTTCGAGACAGCTAGCTCAATGACCCTCTTGTTCCCCCCAAAGGCGTTTTTTTTAGAGAAACTGTAGGAGCCTCCTCCTTCCGTTTGCCATTTTTGTACGGGTTTCTGGCAACTCTTCATTTTCTGCTGGGAAGTGCCCGTATGGCACTCGAATTGTGAAAAAAGGAAATCCAGAACAATTGTATTCCTGCCATTTATAAATGCATTTCTCATTTGAAATTGAATTAGAATTATTTTTTTTAGCTGTCGCGCCGTTGAGCTGCCTCAACTAAACGGTGCAAGTGGGACAAGGTCCCTGGGGCCAAGTCTCACTAGCAGCGTTGAGCTACCTCAACGCCTGAATCTGGACGTGTTTGTGGAGACATGCAGTTCAGGAAACTCAACACCATTTCTGCACATCTCCGCAAAACCTTCCAGATTCAGGCATTGAGGTAGCTCAACGCTGCTAGCGGGACTTGGCCCCTGCGGGCCTGCGCCAGCCCCCCCCCCCCCCCACCCCTCAAACATTTTTTTTTTATTTTTTTCACACCCCCCCCATTCTGTTTTTTTTTTTTTTTTTTTTGAAGGCACGGGGGTGTAGAAGGCCCCCGCACCACTCCTCTCCCACCTTGATCCCGACGGTCCCAGCCTCCACGTGGGCGGAAACCCCGTGAACGGCCGTTCACAGAATTCAGTCCCCGTGACAGGCCGGTCACATTCAAGTGACCAGTGCCGGTCACTTTCACGGGACCGGCACTGGCGGTTGTGCAATTATCTCATTGGGTGGAGCCCTCCTTCAACCACTGAGTGCTATATGGAGGGTGTCAAGATCAGTGCTGACAGAAGTCAAGTTTATTCCAGACAATGTGGCGGTTACTTTGTTCACTGTTGTTGCAACCACCACCATCAGATCATTTGTGATCTGATGGCTGAGAAGCACGCTGCCGTGATTTCCGGTGGGAGGTCTCTGTTTCTTTTTTTTTTTTGGCCTTTCTCCTGTTTTCTCAGCCCAGAAATTCATAATGAACCTGTCTGGCCTCTGCCACTCAGGGAATACTCACACGAGGACCAAAAAACCCAAAATCCCAAAATTTGAGTCATTTTCCGGGTCACACTGGAGAGGCTCGCTACCCAAATGCCTCAAAAGGTGACCATTCTGTCACGAGCCTGAGGGGCCCCGGGCGTACCCTTTTTGAGACCACCTCCGGAGGTAGTCTCAAATT